TACTACTACTACTATTACTATGACCACTACTACTGCGACTACGACCACTACTACTACCACTGCTACGACTACTACCTCTACTACTACTACTACTACTACTTTAACTACTACTACTACTACTACTACTACTACTACTACTACTACTACTACTACTACTACTACTACTACTACTACTACTTACTACTTACAACTTACTACTACTACTACTACTACTACTACTACTACTACTACTACTACTACTACTACTACTACTACGATACTACTACGATACTACTACGATACTACTACTACTACTACTACTACTACTACTACTACTACTACTACTACTACTACTACTATTACTACTACTATTACTACTACTACTACTACTACTACTAGTATGACTAGTACGATACTTACTACTACTACTACTCCTACTACTTACTACTACTCTTACTACTTACTACTACTACTTACTACTACTACTACTACTACGACTACGACGACTACTACTACTACTACTACTACTACTACTACTACTACTACTACTACTACTACTACTACGGCTACGGCTACGACCACGACTACTACGACGGTTAATACTACGAGTACGAATACTAGGACTACGACTACTATTAGCACGACCACGACTACTACTACGATTACTACTGGTACTACTACGATTAGAAAATCATGTTCCTAATGTGTGTTGTTTCGTGCCACGCTCACCCCCCAGTCTGCTTGCGACGCGTGCCGCCTCGTCCGAAACTTTGCGCTTACAGATGCGCCGTGGGCGCGGCCCCGCTCGGCCCGCCTCGCGCGCCGCCAGCACGACCGAGGCGACGCGGTGCTGATGGGGGCGGTGGCCGTGGCGCTGTTGGCGGCCGTGGCCGTCGGCGCGGGCCGAGGGCGAGGAGGAACGCCTGGAGCAGGCGCGCCTGGCGCGGGCGGTTTCCTGGCGCTGCCAACGGGGGCCGCAGCGGCGCTGCCTGCGCGTCCTGCGGGAGTCGGCCGTGGTCGAGGCGTCGGCCGAGGCAAGGCGAAGGCGAACGCCAAGGCGATCGGATGTGGACGTGGCGGTGCTGCAGCTGCTGGAGGTGCGGCTGGGGCACCACCTGTCGAAGGCGCGGCTGCAGCGGCTGGCGGCGCTGCCGGGGCACAACCTGCTGGAAGCGGCGGAGCGGCAGCGGCTGGAGGCGCTGCTGGAGGGGCTCGCAGGCGCGCTGGGGCTCGGCGAGGCGTCGCTGGAGCGGCCGCCGCGGCAGAAGGCGTCGCAGGAGGTGTGCCCGTTGGCGGAGCTGCAGGCGGACCCCCCGTGGGGCCGGTGGCTGGCGCTGGCGGGCCCTTGGGAGGCTTGGTGCCCGCTGCAGGTGCTGCAGGTGTCCTTGCTGGGCCAGGCCCTGGAGTGGCTGGAGGCGGAACCCCCTTTGGTGCTGGATGCGCTGGCCTCGGGGTCGCCGCCAACGGCGCTGCTGGAGCTCCAGGGCCACCACCCGCTTCAGCTCTCGGAGTCCCTGGTGGAGCGGCAGCGCCGGAGGACTTGTACCACCAGGTCCTGGCGGTGGCGCGGCCGCTGTCGTGGGTCACGGCGCTCCCGCGGGCGGCGCCGCCGCTGGAGCAGTGCCAGGCCTGCCACCTGGCGCCTTGGGCATCGGTGGCGTTGGCGGCGCTGGGGCCTGGCCGCTCCCAGGAGGAGGCCCCCTGGGTGGAGGTGCCGCGAGGGGCGCCCCTGGAGGAGGCGGCCTGCTGGGCTGGGTGCCGGCTGCAGGCGCGCACGCCGCTGGAGGCGTTGGAGGCTACGATCTGGCGGCCCCGCCAGGAGGAGCAGGCCTTTGGGTGCACGGCCCGTCGTCGCCGATGGCCTACCAGCGCTTGGGCCTCACTCCAGGATGCGCGCTGGAGGGAGTGACGCTGGACAACTTCGGGAGCGCGGCTGGGACTGCACTCTTTCAGGTGCAGAGTGTGTGGCCTGGCGACAGCATGGGGTGCTTCGTGGAGGCGTCGTTCATGGGCTGCAGCAGCGCTTCGTTGTGGCCCATGCTGGCTGGCAGCTTCGCCAGCCTAGGAGGCGCGGTGCTGCACCTGTGCACGCAGCAGGCGGGTGTGTGTGTGTGTGTGTGCTGGGCTGGTCCAATGGCCTCAGAGGTCGGTGCTGCACGTGGAAACCTACCGCATGCGCTCGCCCAGCAGCTTGACGGAGGCCTGGGTTCAGCAGCCTGGCGGTGCAAACCCTGGAGCTGCTGCAGGCGCGCCCGCGGCTGCTCTCCCTGCTGCCGCCCCTTTCGCTCCTGGAAGTCCTGCGGCTCAGCCCACGCCTGGGGATCTGCAGAGGAAGATTGCGGAGCTCAAGAAGCGACTGCATCAAAAGCGAAGCATCGGCGAGACATTGACGGACCGTGCCGAGGCTGCATTGACGGGGAGCAAACGCAGACGCCATGGCCGACGTCGACGTCGTGACGGTTCAGGTGGCAGCAGCTCCGAGGACTCGCTTTTTGACGGCGCCCCACACGTCGGATCAGGCCGCAGGACTGCTCATCTAGCGCGAGAGGTCCCTGGTGCGTTACTCTCCAGCGGGGCGGAACAGATCAAGAAGTATCTTGCGCGGCGTGGGGGGGCGGACGGTCAGGAGAGCCTGGGCGAGCTAGCAGCAGCAGCGGTGCAATACATCACCAGCGTCTGGCACGGCCACCACCCTCAGGGCGAGATGGGAGTCAGGAGCGTGCGTGAAATTAAGACAGTCGGCGAGTGCCTCGACGCCCTGCTTCGAGGAGAACTGGACCATCTCGGAGACCTCCTCATGCAGAGGCGGACACTGGCAGGTGGCGCCGCACCTCGAGCTTTGCGACGACTTGGGAGTGGGATTCGCGAGGCAGGAGGAGGTGCACGACGCGGCGAGCCAGCGCCGGAGGATGCACGGCCTGGCGGAGAGCGCGGCCAAGGCCAGCAGCCGCGGCCCCTGGCAAGAACCAGAACCAGAACGGCCCCCCAGAGGGTCACCTCCATGCTCTCCCGCGAGAAGGTTCCGAGAAAGTCACGCTGGCGCGCGGAGAGGCGGCGGGCGGCAGCTGCGAGCGCAGCCGCTGGCGCCGCCCCCGCGAGCCCAGGCGCCGCCGCAGGGGGGCCAGCGCAGCCAGGCACGCCGCCTGCAGCGCCGCCCCCTGCCGCCGCCGCGCCGGGATCGCCGCGCGGGATTCCTCGCGGAGGAGTCAGCCCAGGCCCCGACAGGCGGCCGATTCTTCGCCCACCGCAGCAGGGCAGTGCCAGGCCGCCCTCTCCAGCTCGGCGAGTTCACTTCGTGGAGGACTCGGAGAGGCGAGCGAGTTCGAAGTCGCCGACGCGGAGATCGAACCAGAGCCCTCCGAGGAACCCCAAGAGCGGCAAGAGCATGAAGTCCAAGGGCCGAGGCAAAGGCAAACCAGGCAAGGGCAAACCTGGGAAGCGCCTCGGCAAGGGGAAGTCGCAGATGTCGAAGGGCAAGCCGAAGGGCAAGGACCGTCGATGGGCCCCCAGTCTGTGATCGAGGTGAATTCCAGTGAAGGCGAGTCTGGCAGGTTGACCATTTTGGATGCCGACGCCTTCGAGGAGCCCCCCCCCCCCCCCCCCCTTCTTTCTTCTCTAACATGCATGACGTGGAGCACGACGTCCACTTGGGCGCAAAGAATGACTTCATGAATTCAATGCCTTGTTCATCAGCCCGTGTCTCTGGCTCTCCGCTGGAGCTCTTTGGGGGCTGTTTATTGCGAGAGATTAGCCGTGCGTTGCACCGCACCCTGACAAGTTTACCCGTTCATTCAGAAGATCGCGTTCATTCACACCTGGCTCCTCAACGTATAGACGCTGATAG